CTCTTTCTGGCCTTATATAAGGTACTCAAGAAATGGACAGAAACTCAAAAAAAGAAAAAATGATGTATGCTGTTTAAACCCCAAGGAATGGTCTTTTTAAAAGTTTGTAGAAGAACTATGTGCTACCAGCAAATGGGCTGACTTTGAGGGACTGTGGTCCATTGCGGCTCGTTTGGCAGGCTATGTACTAAACTCTTTAACGGCCCTTAATCGGGGTGGTTTGGGAAGTCACCAAGTTGGGGTTCTTGACAAGCATCTGGATTTTACTTCTGACCTCATTAATCCAGACTCACCTTTCTTGGATTGTGGGAAAGTCCTGTCGTCTCAGAGCAAATGCTACGAGGAGAGTTTTCCATCAGAGAGAAAAGAAGAGAGGGGGTGTTGAGGAGGCTAAGAGGGCCTGGGGACCATCCTGGCCTTTCCCTGGAGCAGCATCCCCCGCAGGGTCCCCAGCTCTGGCTGAGCCTTGGTTCAGGCTGCTTGCTCTCGGGCGGGTAGGAATGGGCCACTTGTCCTGGAGACGTGCCCAGAAGCCACAAGTGCCCAGGGCTGTTGGATGCTTGTCCTCGGAGGCAGCCAGGCTCCAACTCCCATGGGCGGGGAGGACGAAAGGCAGCTGAGGTCGAGGAGGGGGCTTCCCGAAGGTTTCACCGTCCCCTGGGAGGCTCCAGCTCTACTTGCTCTGGGCGCGTGGGGGCAGAGGTGCTATGAGCCTCTGTGTGTGGTCCCCACTGTCCCCCGTTCTCCAGACTTGTCCCGTGCCAACTTCAGAGAGGGTGGCGGCTTGGGGGGAGATGGGGCTCCTGGCTTAGGGACCCCATCCAGCAGGAGTAGGGCGAGTGAGGATCCTGACTCCTGCTCTGCCTCCTGGAGGGACGGCCCTTGACCGCCCTGTCACGCTGGCTGTCCTTTATCTCTGCATCTGTTTCCCCATGTGCGAGATTCAGGACTGCACGCTCCGGAGACACAATAAAAGCATTCATGTCTGTAGAATCACCCGGTGGCAGGTATTTACTGAACCTGCTGTGTTCTCTCATTTCTGTGTGAGCTGCAACCTCGGATCCCTGGGGTTCCCATACAGAGCAGAAAATGGCAGAGCTCCTGTGAAAGAAGCGTTCCCTCTGGTGTCTCCCTGGACAGGCCTGCAGTTCTTGGTTTGGGTTTAGGTGCAGCTTTGTGAAAATGCGGGGTTAAGACACTCTGGGGATGAACGCTTCTTCCTGACTGCCAGCTTTTATACTGAGATCAGAGCAGGCCTGAATCCCTTTTCCACTCCAGGCTGGGCACTGCTTCCACGTATCTGAAAAGAAACAGAGAGCCTGGTTGGTGTTCCTGGGGGTGGGGTTATTTCACTGTTCCCTTTGACAACCTCCTGAGCCCCCCCTGGCAACTAGGTCTTGGGGTGGGGGCTGGTATTTCCTCTCCTTCAGATAGTTTTCCATTGCAGGTTATTTCTTGGTCTTTGCATAAGAGCAAAGTCACCTTTACCAAAAAAACAAACAAACAAACAAAAAGCACCTCATTACTTTTTAGTCCCAAGAGATGCAAATTTAGATCTTGAGGAAGTTTGAGGGAAATTGTCAAACTACCCCACTCCCCACCTCGTGATGTCAGAAAGACAAGCCATGGAATCACAGGACTGCCATGGACTGTGCCCTAATTCTTAGGAATTTCAAAATGATGGTGACAACTGAGCATTCGTCCAAGCAACGGGGACCCCCAGGTACAGCCCCGGCCCTGGTGAGGACCACAGGCCAGCTGACGGGGTCCATGTCGGCTTGGTTGAGGAGCTGCTTGGAAGGCTAAGTGGGGCTGATGAGCTCACGGAGCTCCGTGCAGGCATTCAGAGGAAATGGAGACAGGCCTGCAACTCAGATCCTGGGTCCTCTGCTCTCGGGGTTTGCTCTCTACCGCACCCACTGTCCACTGCCAGTGGGCACCAAGGCAGGGCTGGGTTCAGGGAGGTGCCCACGCTCTGCCCCCTCAGGACACATGGGCACAGGTGCCCGCACACCAGAGCCGGGTCTGGCCTCCGCCACAGGCCCAGAGCATCCTTTTGCTGCTTTGTGACCTGTCCTCACATCTCCCCACCTGTACGGACTGATGCACAAAGGGTGGTGCGGTGTGGATAGATCCTGCCCAACAAGAATCCTGGAGGGTCCTTGCCGCAGCTGGAGGGTGCCTTCTCTGGCAGCACTGGGCTGGGGACCCATCAGCTAGCTGGGCTTTAGGAAACGTTTTTCCGTTTAATCAGAAATTACTTGAAAATACAGTCAGGTGTTGAAATCAATCGCTGCCACCAAACAGTGTGTGAACTTTAAAACGAGAATGTCGATGCACATTTGTCAATTAAAAAGCTACATAAAAAATATTTTACAACAGTTTGTTTGCAGTACATTCAGTGTCCTCTTTTTCTAAAAAGTCCTCTGTGTATACACACACACACAGAATAAATGTAGTAGTCTTAAGTAGTGGAAAAGTGTGTTAGTCACTCAATCACGTCCCAGTCTTTGCAACCCCGTAGATTGTGGCCCTCCAGGCTCCTCTGTCCATGGGATTCTCCAGGCAAGAATACTGGAGTGGGTTGCCATGCCCTCCTCCAGCAGGTCTTACCAACTCAATTATGGGCATTTACTGGCCTTTATTTAAAAAGTTGTAAAATATGTATCACTTGTATAGAAAAAAGAAGTTCAAAATCAACATGATAAAAACTTGGAGTTTAGGGTAGTATTTGTTGCAGCAAGATTCGCGTTCTGTCCACTGTATTGCTGTGTGTCCATGCTCGGTCGTGTCCAAGCAACCCCATGGGACTGGGGTCCACCAGGCTCCTCTGTACAAGGAATTTTCCAGGCAAGAATACTGGAGTAGGTTGCCATTTCCCTTTCCAGAGTATCTTCCCAACCCAGGGGTCGAACCCATGTCTCCTGCACCTCCTGCATTGGCAGGCAGATTCTTTACCACAGAGCCAGCTGGGAAGCCGTCTGTCTACCGTACATTTCCCCATCAATCCAGGGATACCTTAGAACTAGTTGGTGATATTTCACCATAAAATGCTACATTTGTCTTCAGAAACTTGAACCTCATATTAATGCTGCAGATCGAACACAAAGGTTTTTCTCCTTTGAGTCTTATTTCTTTATTAATAGAATTGTTTGGACAGTTTCAGAAAAATCGTAAGTATTTTACCTTTTTTCCTGTAGAAGGACTTCCTGTAGACTTTGAACACATTGCTTTTTAGGCGACACTGAACACTAGACTGGTAAAGAGTCTGCCTGTAATGTGAGAGACCTGGGTTCAATACCTGGGTCGCGAAGATCCCCTGGAGAAGGAAATGGCAACCCACTCTAGTATTCTTGGCCAGAGAATCCCAAGGACAGAGGAGCCTGGGGCGCTACGTCCATGAAGTCACAGAGAGTGGGACGTGATTGGAGTGACTGAGCGCATACACGCAGTCTGCTCTCATGTTTGCTTCTTGGGCTGGTTTGTCTGCCTTGCTTGTTGGTGGACCCTTAGTCTTGGGGCTGAAACACATGCGGGCCATGGAGCCTTTTGCCCTCCTGTGGTCATGAACTATACCCCTAAGGCCCACACTGGGCCTGGAAATTCATGTCACAACCCAGAGTAGTGCCATGGCTTTCAGAAAGAGATGCAAACCTGTCTGCATCCAGAACCAGGGCTGGTCATCCATGTCTTCTTTGTGACTAATACCAGCATGACTGACCCTGAAAGTATGTATGCCAAAGGCACCACAATAGCTTTTACACACACACACACACACACACGCGTGCACACACACACCTCGTCTGCTCAGACCCCCAGAGCGGGTCAGGCTGCCTGAGTGTCCATAACAGTGCAGGCATCTGCTGGAAACAGGCCTGAAAGCTCACACTCACACATCTGAACTGGAGGGACAGAGGGGGTGCCCCAGAAAGAAGCGACCTGATTTCAAGTCAACACACGGGCTCTGGTGGCTGGTCGGGGAAGGTGCGCTTGCGGTCGTCCAGCAGAGCATGAATGAGCAGACTCCGTGGCGCTCCCTTGCTGCCGGGCCCCGGCTTTCTTATCCTCGGAGCCGCCAGATGCACGTGCCGGGGAGGCGGGGGGCAGGCCGAGAGACCTGAGAGGTGGAGGCCGTGCCCTGAGTGGGAACGCAGCCCACCCCGCCCTCCTGCCCGGCCCACGTGGTCTCTCCCCGGGGTGCTCGTGGTGGCCACAGGCAGAGTGGTCCCCCCCACCACCCGCGGGCAGCTCCAAAGGCTGGCTTTCTTTCTTCCCAGGGCTCCGAGGAGCCGGCGGCTGTCTGTCAGCCGCTCAGCAAGGTCTGGGCGCTCTCCGAGCCTGCTGTGGCAGCCTCTGTGGGCTTGCCTTCTCCCCGCGTCAGAGTCTGGAGGAGTCGGAGGCAGGGGCCTGAAAGAGTGGGGGACAAGCCAGCGGCGGCGCGGCCCATCTGCCAGGCTGGAGGTGTATTTATTATTGATGGGGGGAGCGCCGCGGCTGCTCAGCTATGCAGCCCTGCCTGGGTAAATGAGACATTCTTCAGCAAATTGCTTCGTTTTTTGATTGCTGATTGTACGCGTGTCACCAAGCTGACTCAAGGTTCATCGATGCATGCTCAGTAAATTAGAAAGAACATAACTATGGATCAGCCAAGAGAATGAATTCTGTGCCTACAATGACCCAGGGCCATTTAATTTTCTGCTTAATTTTGTTGCAGTCAGTTTGCATTTTGGGTTATTATGCAGTAGGAAATTAACAATAAATAACAAATTTGGTCCTCCTGTGCTTGTAATGATATTTTTATAAATCTTTGCAATGCCGTTTTTAAAAGGATCAAGGTCTGTGCCAGTCTGATACTCCAGCGAGTGTGTGAAGAGGAAAATGCATTATTCTTGGTAGATAGCCTTGTTGTTAAATAGCTCGGGCCTTCTTTATCTCTCTTTCTCTCTCATATCTTGGGAGTGATTTGCTTTCAACTAAAATTGCTTCCTCTGTTTTCTCAGATAATCCAAGGACCATGGACGCTGATGAGGGTCAAGACATGTCCCAAGTTTCAGGTGAGAACTGGTGATATACCTGTATGGGGAGTCCAGGCTTTGCTGGGTAGCAAAGCCAAGGAGCCCTTGGGATGGTGGGCGAGGAAGAAGGCTGCGCTGCCAAAGGAGAGGCCGAGATGGACTTGGAGTCAGAGTCTCACTTCAGTGCTTAGAGATTATCCAAATGTGACCGCCTGCATAGAAAAGTCTCCAAGATAAAGCGAGTTTTCCTGTTACACCTAAAAATGACTTCGAAAGGATACAGTCTATGTTGATATTCTTGGGGAGACAAAAGGACAGATTGACCTGCCCTAGACCCCAAACACAGGCCAACAAACGTGTTTAAAAAGAGAAAGAAAGAGGGAGGGAGGGAGGGAGGAGGGGGGAGGGCAAAAAGGAGAAAGCAGATTGGAAAACAAAGTTTGGGGAATAATTCCAGATGCTTGTTAAGTGTGGAGGCACCACTTCCCATCATCGTACGTTTATGTCAAGCCATATTGGACACAGCTCTTACCATCCCAGGAGACCCAGGGCTGGGGACGGTCCTGGGAGATGAGGCCCAAAGCTAGATCACACTGTCCCACCTGGTGAGGCCTGGGAGAGTGGACCTCCATCTAGTCTAGCCAAACCTGCCCAGCGCAGTACTCATGGTCCTAGGATACCCGTGAGGCTAGCCCTGAGCTTGGACATGTTGGCAGCAGTTGAGTTCACAGTATTTTATATTTTCCAGTCTCAGGACCATGGTCAGTCCTGGGTAGCCTCTGTACTAGAATGGCCCATGTGGTTCTCTGGGAGTGGCCAGCCTGCCTCCACCGATTTCTGAGTTATGACTCAATTCTGGCCCTGGGCCTCTGTCCATTCTGGTGACGGAGCCCAGGGCTGAGACCATGGCTGCAGCCCTGCCTGCCTGCTTAGGAGACATGCAAGACCAGGGATTTGAGTTCCTCAACCTGAAGATGGCCTGCTGCAGACCACGCCTGTCATTTAGAGAGTCTGCATTGAACTCTCCAGGCTGTGAGGTAAAGGCCAGCGCATGGCTTTTTGGCTGTGGCTTGTAGGCACTTGATGGGCCGTTGGTGGACATGAACATCAGTCAGCACACTTGGCCATATCTGTAGAAAGTAAAGCTGTGTTGGAGGATTCAGCTGCAGAGACACGCTATCCCATGGGCATGGGCAGTCTCCAGGGATGCTCCTGAGAACTTTGTTCCCCCCACACCCTTGTTCATACAGGGCTGAGCAAGCAGGACCACAGGAACAGAGTCAGGTGGAAGGACATCAAAGATGCATGTAAAGATGAGAAGCAGGTGTCTCAGGATGGTTTGCAAAGTGTGAATCCATCCTTTAAAATGAAAACACGTCACACATGCGCACGTGCACACACACACACTTTCCATGTGCCTGTATATCCCTTTAGGAACATTCTGGAGTGATTATTTTAAATGTGTACTTCCTCTTAAAAGATTGAGGGTGGAAGGAAGGGATGGGTTAGGGGAGAGACTGGGGACTTTGGTTTTTCATCTTCTCCCTTTCAGTATTATTTGAATTCATTTCCCTCAAGCACATACTTTTGTTCTGAAAACTGAGTACAATGACAACAATAAAACTATTAAAAAACAAAACTTTGGCCCTTTGAAGCCTGTCCTTTGGCTTGGCCAGGATGTGGTAGCAGCTGGTAGATGAAGCCTGAGCTGAAGGAGAGGTGGGTCCTGCCAGAGGAAGCAGGGTCCCATCCCAGATTGTAGACCACGGCTGGAGGCGATAAGAGGGTCAGAAATGCTGGATGTTAAATGTCCCAGAAGGTGCAAAGAGGCCCCTTCGTTGTCTCTGGTCCTCTGCGTCTGCTCGCTGCTTTCCTCTTAGGCGGCTTCTAGAGTGACGTTTTACATGATACACTGAGGATCCAAGCAGACTGTTGTCCCAGAGACAAAGCCGAAAGCCTGATGCTGGGCTGGCCTCTCTAGAAAGTTTAGTAGGAGGAACAGTCGGTCAGTACTCTGATCCCCTGTGTTGGTGACAAACATAGCAAAAGCCTCATTTTCTTCTATTCCTTTTGCCCTAACGTTATGTGAAACACTCAGTTTGAACAGTGGCTCTTTGAAGACAAAGGTGTCAGGGAGTGGAGATGAGAGTGAAAGTTGGCCTGAAAAAGATTCAAGATTTGTTCTAAAATTTAATTTTGTATACTCCTAGCAAAGGAAATGGTGCTTCCAGTCCTTTACACAATTATGCCTTTGGTTTATGTTAAACCTGGACTGTTCTAAACAGAGATTAGGGCATTTAAAGAGTTGTGCCACTTTCACTAAAGATTTGAAGAATGCTTTTTCTGTGTTTTGCTGTTTTTGCAATAAACATCCAGTCATAGCAGTTTTCCTTTTTCTTTTCTAAAATGGAGGGAAGTGGTAGTTAGTTGTATTATGAGGATGTGCATTTAGCAAAACAGAAGTTGATGTTCTTGATGTAAAATATGAGGAATATGTTCTGAATCATCCCCTTTTCCCATAAAACTATTCCTTGTTGTGTCCTGTTCCCAAAAAAAGAAAAGCAGATTTAAGTCAAACCCTATGAAATTGCTATTATCATAGATTAAAAAAAAGTTCCGATGTCAGCAATTTCATAGGAGTCCCCCTAATCTGTGTGAAATACTCTCCTGAAAAACAGACAAATACTTAGTATCTTAACTTTTTTTTCAAACTACCTGGCTGTTTCTTCCCTGGAATTTATCCTGGATATGGACTGAACCCTGATTTATAGTGTCTTCTAGACAAAAACCACTTGATAAATATGTGCCCTCTCACATCTTCTAGGGCTGGGAATGTCTTTGAATGGGTCTGGAGGAAAGTCTGTCTAAAGCAGTCCATCCTGTCCTTTAGGGCCCATCTCATTCATTCTTTTGCTGAGTTTTTTGTTTGTTTGTTCTTTCTCTCTTTTTTGGCACTCATTCTAAATTACTGGTTATGTACTGTGAATTATTGTTTGTTTTGGTCTCTAAGGGAAGAGTCAGCCTGTGGGGGAACAGGAATTGTGAGGCCTGTATCAGCATCTCATCTCCGCCTCCATCTCTGGGACCTGAGACAGTGCTCCTTGCCTCATGGACCACTGTGTGGCCTCTGCAAAATGGGGGACTGGAACCAATCGAGCTTATGTGATGTTCAGGCTCCTGGGGCCCTACTGAATGTTTTCTTACTGGTCATCTATAATGTTTGTTGAAACAGAGAAACAACAAATATGCTCTATAGACATCCATCCTCTGCCTGGGAAACGAAGCTCACTCATATCAACGTTTCAGTGCAAATGTCGATCATAGTAAATCACACTGATTGAATGCTTTAAATTTATCAAACACCACCGTAAGCATTTTTTCTCATTTCAACTTTATAAGTCCCCAGTGAGGGAGATACAGGCAGCATCTTCAATTCTCAGGGACCTGAGACTCAGAGCGTTTCAATAACCAATCAGAAGTCCCATGAAAGCCAGACCTGGTGTTGGGTAGGAGCTTCCCCACTGTTCTGTAGAGTGGACAGTCTATATTCTGAGTTTTATTTACCCCCCAGAAATTGTGTTTTCCTGCGTAACTGTACACAGTACAAACTCATGCACCAGGGACATGAGGAACCACTGAACTTCGTTGGTTGAAATATAATTTACTTGAGGAATTATTTACTTCCTGTTGATAAGCTAATTAAACAATTTTCTCATCTAATTTTCCCAGAACACTTCTCATAGGCAAAGCTTTATCTGAAACATAGTAAGTTGATTAAACAGAAATTGGTGAGAACTTTCTTTCATTTTTTTTGTAAAATGACATCACACCTCCTAAGTCCTTCCTTTAAAGCCTTGCTTGCTTGCTGTCTGCAGTTCTTTATGTTTGTGGGACGCTATCCATGCCCTTGGACATATGGGCACTTGCTGCTGTGCATACCTGTTTCTAGAGGGTGTTGTAGTTTACAAAATAACACCATGAGCTTATCTAGCATATTAGATTCCACCCTCATCGTTGTTTTATTCTCACAACAGCCTTTTAAGCTAAGGCAAAATCATGTTCTTTAAGCTCATTTTACTCCTGCAGAAAGAGTGTAAAAAAGGTGAGTGGCTGTGGAATCTGTCTTATCGTTGGTCAAACCGGAGCTGTACCCTGGGTCAACTGATTTCCAGTCACGGTGTGCTGATATCCTCTGTGCACTAACTTGCTTTAATAACTTAATTTTCTTATCGTTTACCATCTTTTCATGGCTTTGCATTTTAAATGGTGAACTGGGTAGGTCTAAATAGGTCTTGTTGCTGTTCACTTGCTACGTCGTGCCTGACTCTTTGTGACCCCGTGGACCGCAGCATGCCAGGCTGCCCTGTTCTTCACCGTCTCCCGGAATTTGCTCAAACTCATGTCCATTGAGTTGGTGATGCCATACTCTAAATAATCCTAAAATCAACCCACAGAGATATGTTTGCTCCTCGTGAGGACTTTGACACAGTGATGGAGGTTCTCTGTGGACATCTCCAGCAGGCAGAGGATCCCAGGGTTGCTGAGTCCAGAGGCTCAAGTCAGTGATTGACGACTCAGCAGCCACTGCTCAAATGTGGGGGCTTTTAGGCAAATCAGATGAGCTCTTAGGAGCTGTCACAGTGGCGGCCAGGCAAGGCTGCGTTCCAGCAGGCACGTGGGTGGCCGTCTCACTCACTGTCTTACAGTCCTGGCTTTTTACCTGATTCCACTGCACACGCCAGGGCTACGCTTTATTCTCTCCTATCTTCACAGGGAGCTCCTACTGATCGACCTGACCCCAGGGTATTTACAACTGTGTCCATACTGTTTCCATTATTCCTTTTTCTGCATCGCGAATGAAGCAGCGGAAAGTGCTGAGATGCTGGCCTGTAGCTCAGCACAGGGGACCAGACAGACAGAAGCACATCTGGTATCTCACCAAGTTCTGGTTGGTCTTGTTCCCAATAGACGGAACAGATAAATTTGAAGAAAAGTGACTTGGATGCATTTTCACATGAACTGAGCAGAGAGATGACAGCCCTTCACTGGACAAGTCCCAATTCTTTATGACCCTCCCAAGGGTCCTGCATACCTGACTGTCTAGATCGATCCCAGAGTTCTCCAAAGTTATCCTCAGGAAGCCCAGAATAAAAAAATAAGGAAAAAAATACAGGAATGTCGTTTAGTTTCTCAACCTTCTGCTTCCACCTGTCACCATGGCAGCTGGTTAATCAGAAAGGTGTGCATGCATACCCCTCACTGTGCATCTTTCAGGATCCTGTCACTTTGTTAAGCTGGGGTCCCCAGAGTCAGTTCTGTGGGAGCTCCCTGGCGGTCTTCACAGAAGCAAGTGGTCTGGGTCTCTGACATTTCAGCCTCCTTACCCTGCAGTGTCCCCGCTTTACCTAGGAGACAGGTTTCATGTATTAAAGTTCTTTTTTTTTTTTTAACTTTTTTTTTTTTATTAGTTGGAGGCTAATTACTTTACAGCATTGCAGTGATTTTTGTCATACATTGAATTAGCCATGGATTTACATGTATTCCCCATCCCGGTCCCCCTTCCCACCTCCCTCTCCACCCCATCCCTCTGGGTCTTCCCAGTGCACCAGGCCTGAGCACTTGTCTCATGCATCCAACCTGGGCTGGTGATCTGTTTCACCCTAGATATACATGTTTCGATGCTGTTCTCTTGAAACATCCCACCCCCGCGTTCTCCCATAGAGTCCACAAGTCTGTTCTATACATCTGAGTCTCTTTTTCTGTTTTGCATATAGGGTTATCGTTACCATCTTTCTAAATTCCATATATATGTGTTAGTATACTGTAATGGTCTTTGTCTTTCTGGCTTACTTCACTCTGTATAATGGGCTCCAGTTTCACCCATCTCATTAGAACTGATTCAAATGAATTCTTTTTAACGGCTGAGTAATATTCCATGGTGTATATGTACCACAGCTTCATGTATTAAAGTTCTGTGTAAGAACTAGAGATTTTCATCCGAAGAGAAGTCAGACAGAGAAGATAAATATCATGTGATATAACTTATATGTATAATATAAAAAAATGATACAAATGAACTTATTGACAAGATAGAAACAGACCTACAGACAGAGAAAACAGACTTATGGTCAGCAAGTGTTGTTGTTGTTTGGTCGCTAAGTCATGTTCGACTCTCTGCAACCCCATGGATGGTAGCCGGCCAGGCTCCGCTGCCCCTGAGATTTCCCAGGCAAGAGTACTGGAGTGGGTTGCCATTTCCTGCTCCAGGGGATCTTCCTGACCCAGGGATCAAACCCGTATCTCCTGCATTGGCAGGCAGATTCTTCACCACTGAACCACCTGGGAAACCCATAGTTACCAAAAGTGGGGATAAATTAGGAGTTTGTGATGAACAGGTACATGCCACTGTATATAAAATGGATAAACAACAAGACCCTACTGTATAGCATGGAGAACTATACTCAGTACCTTGTAATAACCGGTAATGAAGAGGAACTTGTAAAAGAATGTGTGTGTGTGTGTGTGTGTGTGTGTATAAGTGAATCACTTTGCTGCACATCTGAAATGAATACAATATTATAAATCAACTATATGTCAATATTAATGTCAGTATTATTTAATATTAATATTAAATGCCAATACAATTACTCAATTATATATTAAATAATTTAATTAATTTTAAATGTCAATATAATTCAGTATGTCAATATTAAAAATCAGAGGCATTACCTTACCAACAAAGGTCTATCTAGTCAAAGCTATGGTTTTTCCAGTAGTCATGGAAAAACCAGTAGTATGGATGTGAGAGTTGGACTATAAAGAAAGCTGAGTGCTGAAGAATTGATGCTTTTGAACTGTGATGTTGGAGAAGACTCTTGAGAGTCCCTTGGACTGGAAGGAGATCCAACCAGTCAATCCTAAAGGAAATCAGTCATGAATATTCACTGGAAGGACTGATGCTGAAGCTCTAATACTTTGGCCACCTGATGTGAAGAATCATTCATTTGAAAAGACCCTGATGCTGGGAAAGATTGAAGGCGGGAGGAGAAAGGGACAACAGAGGATGAGATGGTTGGATGGCATCACTGACACGATGGACATGAGTTTGAGTAAACTCCTGGAGTTGGTGATGGACAAGGAGGCCTGGTGTGCTGCAGTCCATGGGGTCGCAAAGAATCAGACACAACTGAGCGACCGAACTAGTAATACGTCAATAATTTTAAAAAGATTATTCTTACCTAAAAAGAAAACAAATTAAGAGTCCTCTGACCACCTCCCTAAAGTCCTCAAGATTTGAAGATGATTACTTTAGGAAATCAGAAGGAAAAACAGAGTCTTCAGGTGGTTCATAGGCCTCCTGCAGACTCCTATTCAGGGTTCTTTCCATTTGTGAAGTAGGTGAAAAGTAGCACTGAGTCTTCAGCTGTTGCTCCTTTTAAAGTCGTCTATTTAGGGCAATGAAATTATTACTGATGTCATGCACATTTAGTGTAACACGAGAACTCGATCAGTTTCCCTCTGGCTTTTGGTTTTTCCTTGGGAAATTCTTACCATGCTGCCCCCTCTCTAACTCTCCGTCTTGTATTGACTATCCAAATATATCCAATAATGCTCTTTCTGAAAATATGCCAGTTGAGGTAATGTCAGCTAAGCTGGGATATTAAACTGTGATGTCTGTTTGCTGGAGAATGCTATCCTCTTCCCCGAAGCCATGGTGCCTGGCAGTTTCTGTTTTATTCCCCGAAGGGTCATCTCCTGTGTCCGGAATGCTCCCACTGCACCTGCCTGTCCCCCGAAGGGTTGTGTTGGTCTTTGAGGTGGTTTATGCAAACACGCAGTACAGTTTCCCACTCTGCCTCGCCCTGTCTCCCAGACATGCTTTCTTCATCATGGGTACACTTTCCTGCAGGCCTGGGCTTCTGTGTGGGAATATGCTTTGTCTGCGAAGCCAGCTTGCAGCCCAGCCAGCACACACAATCCCCATCAGTCCCTTTCCCACTAGCCTTCTTTGATGCTCCTCATGCCTCAGCAGCGCTCAGGGGCTATTCTGCATCTGCTGGGGGCCTCTCTAGCTCTTCGCTGCCTGGGTTTATTGTCTCCTGACCCAAGTTTAGGTTACATCTATGTTAGAAGGTACAAGGGTTTCAATTTCAAAGAAAGGGAGCAATTTCCCCCCATCTTGGCTTCCCAGTGTTAAAATTCTAGGAGTGGGAGTGAGTTTCCCATTTCTGGAGCTTCTGGTGAAACTTACTAGATTCAGGCATCCCGTAAAACCCTATCTCATAGGTCAATCCTACTTTGTGAAGGAACTTCTGGAGTTGCGTGGGTTCTATTTTGTTTTAATATTTTGAAGCTAAGAATTCCTAGTAGAAGACTCAGTGTTCACATGGGCTGGGAGTTGTGTGAATTCCTTGTCCATCCTTCTTCCAAGTTTTCTGACTCTACTGAGTTAATCAAACTGGGAAGCTGTCTAAATATTCTCTGGCTCTGGAAAGTGAACAGGCCCAGAATGTGTTGCTGTGAGCAGGATGCCCAGTCTGGTGAACTTAATACAGAGCTGTGGTGAATAGGCTTGTCGGAGGGTAAGGTGGAACAAACATACAGGTGAAATTTGGCCTGACATGTGAAGACTCTTAAAAATGTGCATGCCTTTTGACAGGGTCATAAAATTCCCCAGGGTTTATACTGTGGTTCTTTTTAAGAACATGGGCAAAGACTAGCTGTTAGGAGCTTTACCACTGTGTTGTTTCATTTAAAAAAAAAAAAAAAGATTGAACACAATCTAGGTTCAAAAGCAGAAAAGGGATTTAAATAAATCCTACTGTGCCCGTGCAGTGAAGTGTTATACAGACATCACAGATAAAAGTCATGGAAGCAAGGCCATGAGAATGTCTAAAACTAGTTTATTTTGATCAAGAAGATATGTCATCACATATTATCCATAGTATATAAGTGTCTGTGTATGTGTATAAACACACACACCGCAATTTTAACAGCGGTGCTCTCCAGGTGATTCATGCATTTTTCACATCTCCGTTGTCTCATGTTTTGGTGTGGCAATGATATTCTTTTATAAACAGGAAAGCAGGTTCTAATCCCAACAGAGAAGCATGAACTTGGTCCATAACTGGAAGCCAAGCCATGTCGCTGGCTGGCTGCAGTGACCCCGACTCTCAGGGGTGACCACGTCCCCAGAAACTCCAGCTCTTGCTTGTGTCCCCAGGGAAGGAGAGCCCGCCGGTGAGTGACACCCCGGATGACAGCGACGAACCCATGCCTGTCCCCGAAGACCTCTCCACCACGTCTGGGGGCCAGCAGAGCTCCAAGAGCGAGCGCGGACTGGGTAAGTGGGCCGCCCGCCTCTCACTCCCAGGCCGTCTCGAGGCCTCCGGCGCCCCCGTCTCTCCACGTCCTTCCAAAGCCCGCGGTGAGCGTGTGTGAGTCCCGTCACCCGTGGCTTCCCCTCGCCCCCCCACCCCGGGAAGGGAGCACGCGTGCAGGGCGGGGCCCCGCGGCGTGAGCGCCCAGCCCCACGTGGGGTGCAGCGTGGCCGAGCTGAAGAGCACCCCCGAAGGCGGGCACATCACTGGTCCCCTGTGCTCGGAGCACTGCAGCAGTGTGCAGTGTACACGTCCTCGTAGACAGGAGACGCATCTTCCTGTTGATTTTCACAGCTTTGACGTAGAAGGAGCCGAACCCGGCCCTTCTGTTATCCCTCTCCTCTCTGTTTCTCTAGTGTCCAGTTTAAGTGAAAGTAGAAAATTGGATAAATAAAACATTTCGATGTTAAAAATGAAAAATACATAATCTCCGTTAGCAGACATTCACATACCTTGTCCGCAGAAGAGTGGGTGTGGAGGTATTTGCCGTCGCTTCCCTGGGGGGCCTGCCCAGGCTGCGGAGTCCATGGTAAGAAGTCTGAGTCCACCCTCTCTAGGAGAACGGAGACCCAGAGAAGTTCAGGGAATTAGCCGGGGTCACAGAGCAGAGTCAGAAGCAGACACCATTTCTGACTAAAGACTGGTGTCTATTCCAGTATACCCTATTCTCATCAGCTAGTGAGTCAGCAGTTCCTTGGAATATCTATTTTCTTTTGCATTTGATAAAGAAAAAACTGTGAAGTTGAGAGCCCCTTATTTGCAGCAAAGAGAGTCATGAAGGGTGCATAGGTGGCAATGAGATCAGATAGGCAGGAGAGATCAGCTTCTAAGACCCACAGCCAAGGAGGGCACTTGTCTAAAGTTCTGAGACTCACAAGTTATTTTCCTGTAGGACATCCTGATGTGATAACAGAAATGTATTTTGTGTGTTTTCATGTGCCTTGGAAACCAGATAGGCTCTGGGTGTATTTTTTTTTTTTAATTTAGCTATATAGTTAGCTGAACAAACGGGGATAGTGGCTAAAGTCTTTTGACGTAAATGGACCAAGAAAACAAGGACATTTCTGAATTCCTTTTCCCTGTTAGATAGTGGCTACTGTATGTGGGCAAGTAGATGGGGAAGAGTGTGCACTCTTTCTACACACATCCTTTCGGGGGTTCCCAAAGCTAGGACACGGAAGAGCATGCCTTGTTGTAATTGATGTATTTGTGTTTAAGATTGTCTTCTGTTTATTGCAAGAGATACTGGTTTGTCATTCACTTGTACTGCTGCAGTTTCCTTTCAAGACACATTTACATAAATTAAAAGATCAAACTTAAATAAAAACATTAGGATATTGAGGGTGTGTATACATGATAAAGACTTAGAAAACCTCAGGGACTGACAAGCAGAAGAAATTATGTGGATAGGCACAGGCTAACCATTTAAATGAGTGGAGAGCGCAGACACCGGGGTTAGGACTCTGGGGTCACTATGGAGAAACTGGGGAGACGCCCCCAGGCCCTGAAATCCCGGCAGCTGACAGCCATGGTCCCCTGGGGCGTCCAGTGGAGAACTGAAAGTCGGGCTGGTTCCTGGAGAGTGAAGAGCAGCCCTCCTGGTGCAGGCAGGCAAGCTCTGGTCATAAACGCCCGCACAGCCTCAATGTACCTCCTCGCGTGGACTTCAGGCTGTGGGAGCTCTGCCCTGGCCCCTGGCTCCCAGGCTGCGTTCTCTGGGTGGGACGCGGTCTTGGAGCAGGCAGGTGAGGGGCAGGGGCAGGGTGGTCTGAGATCTGCAGGCTCTTCTCTGCGCTTCCCCACCGCCCTGCGACACCACACTCGCTCACTCCTTTCAGCATCAGATTTCTACCAGCTGAGCGTTAGAGTTGGAAGACTTCAAACACCTGAGAACCATCTCTCCTTGGCTTGTAAATGGAAGCTGCCACGTGGACAGGCAGGGAAAGCGGTTGGAAGAGGGCGCAGGGGACAGAGGGCTGATGGGTCACTCCTGGGAAAGCAGAAAGGACAGAAGCACAGATGGCGGGAGGGGCCGGGGGGTTTGTGGAGACAGGTGAGCGAGGCAGGGAAGCCCCGGAGACCAGGGAGCACACAAAAGCAGCAAGGAAATGTGCCCCCTGCACACTCGGCGCTGAGCCTAGGAACGCTGCTTTCTGGCTGCTGAAGGGGGTCAGCCAGCTCGGGGGCAGTGAAGGCTGCCTGGGCAGCACTGAGAGCATTGCGGTGCTGGTGGTTTGGTCGTTCAGTCGTGCCTGATTCTTGCGACCACATGGACTCTAGCCCGCCAGGCGCCTCTGTCCAGGGGATTCTCCAGGCAGGAATACTGGAGCATGTGGCCATTTCCTTCTCCAGGGGAATCTTCCCAGCCCAGGGTTTGAACCCAGGCCTCTGGCATTGCAGGCAGATTGTTTACCCACTGAGCCACGAGGGAAGCCCTTGATAGCATTAGGACTTTAAAAGACGAAGGGATTAGTAGCTGAAAGAAGAGGAAATGCACTTGAAGGCGTATTTCGTCAGCACACTGGGAAGAAGGCAAAGAAACCCGGGCCTGGGACCCACAACCGGAAGCAGGGCCCCTCCCTAAGCGGCCCTGCCCAGCGCAGGGCTCCTCCCTACCCTGCAGCGGGAGCCGCTCGGCCGCAGGGGGCCTGGGGAAGGCGCCCCGGCAGGGCTGGGCGAGGCTGGCCCTGGAGACCCTGCACCTGGGCGAGGAAGGGTGGAGTCGGGCCCCTCCCCGCCAGATTCTTACCTCCGAGCCGGGCGCCCTCATTTCAAACTGGCCAGAGCAACGGAACTCAGCTCGGCTCACGGGGTAGTCTCCAGGGTTAACTGAAAACACGCACACAGGCTTTGCTGAAGCCAGAACAACAAAGACACACAATAAAAATACAGTCAGAGGCGGAATAAGGTCTCTTAAAGGTTTTTAAAGGAGTCTGTTGTCGCCTCCCTGGAGAGAAGGAAAGAGAAGGTAGAGGATTTGCAGAACCAGGAATAGAAGAGGACTTTATTAATTAAAACAAAAGTGATCCAGAGAATAGGCAAGCTGAAAACAAAGCCAAGAAGATGGGGAGGAATCCGTTAGGAGAGGGCAAGAGCAAGAGAGAGACTGAGGTGCCGGCCACTCCTAGACCCAAGATCAAGTTGGGGTTGCCGGCTCCTCCAGTGGGAACATCAAGAAGTGGTGAGAGAGTAAAAGATGGTAAAATGTGCGAAAGGCTTTGGTGATAATAGACCACCAGGTGTCTGTTTTAGGGAAAAAACCCCCAAAGGATGCTTTTGAAAAACTCAGAGTCCTCACTCCCAGTTCTAGACAAGTCTCACCTCAACCAGGAGAACAGACGAGAGTATTGAACAAGTTGTTGGGAAACAGCAGAAACCGGCCCCTTAAGATGGGGAGAAGCGTCTCACTGGTGGAGGGTCGTTCTCAGACATAAGCAGAGGAATGGTTTTGTACCTCAAGACTTCCGTCAGTGTTGCCGAGCTGCCGTAGGAGTGTGTGCCAAGGTGAGCTCCTGAATTAAAAAAGATATGGGAAAGAGGTGTCAGGGGAATAGCCTTGTCAGGACAAGGGTGTCACCCTCATCGGGCTCCTTTTTTCCTGGGTCTGAAGAAGAGGAAGCAAGGATCTGAAGTACAGCGTGAAGGATTTAAGTTAGACACCGGAGAGAACTTCCTGGCCCCGAGGGATTTAGTATTTAGTCATCAGGACAGTCTATTCAATCAGATGCTAGCCTGTTCTTCTGAAGTGGTCTCTTTAATAATGAGAGAAATCTCATCTCTCTGAAGTGGTTGTGTATGAAACTGCTAAAAAAGGAGGATGTACCCAGTGACCTCCTACAGCAACCCCCAAATTTACCCAGTCATCCATGGCAGGTGCCCTCGAGATCTTCTGGCAGCTGTTGACCAGGGGCGATTAAAAGTGTCTCACATAGAAATGATGCCAAGACTGGTGTCTAACAGAGCAGATGAGTGCTGTGAGTAAAGGACCAAAAAACTTATTTTCCTCCTTTATTCAATAGCCTATACATTTGTCTTCCTTCCAGCATGGATTTTTGCCCATCACTGTTTCATTCTCCTTTTGCTTATGTGGGGGCTTCCCTCGTGGCTCAGCTGGTAGAGAATCTGCCTGCAACGCGGGAGACCTGGATTCGATCCCTGGGTTGGGAAGAGCCCCTGGAGAAGGGAATGGCTACCCACTCCAGTGTTCTGGCCTGGAGAAGTCCATGGGGTTGCAAAGAGCCAGACATGACTGAGCGACTTTCACTTTGCTTGTGTGAGTGGCCCTGTCCTAAATTGGGCAGGGGCCTTCTGGCTGTCTGATGCTATCAGTGAGCACCCAGTCCTGGAGTGGAGGCAGGCTGCAGGCTGGCTGATCCCAGCAGAAAATCAGGCTGTGAATAGAGTTGGAGCCCTCACCCCCTTTGACTGTAGATGGTGGGCAGGGGGAGGGAGGCTTACGTGGCTGGAGCAGAGGAGACAGGGAGAGGCCAGGGGTGGAGAAGAGAGGTTCGGGGCCAGAAAACCAAACCACACCCTGAGAGAGATGCCTGGCAAGTTTAGCACTTAGACTCACAGGGAAAACCTAGGGGCCGAAGCACAGCAATGACCTGGGACTTAAAGGGAGAGATGATTGACAGCAGCCAGAGGGGCTGGTTGAATTAGCAGAGGACCAAAGACTTATGGTTGAGGAAGACTTTCCAAAAGGCTCAGCTCCGTGGACAGACGGTCAGGATGACCCTGTGTAGTAGTTATTCTAATGCTCAGGGAGACATGAGGGGTGGATGCCTCTAAATATGGGGCACTAATGTGTGTTTGTGCAAGCCCCTCCAAGTTCTAGAATGTTCTTCCTTCACCTCTGCTCACTTCTGTGACTTCATCCCCCAAAGAGGGAGGGAGATGACATCCAGCATTTCCTGCAGGTCGCATCCTCCAGTGTGGGGTTTAGAGCATTCTTGAAGCTGAA